CACTCTCACACACACACACACACACACACACACACGCACACACAGACACACACACACACTCACACACACACGCACGTACGCACGCACACACACAAATACAAACAATAAATGAGGTTTTAATGTGCCATTTATAATATTATAGAAAACCTTTCCAGTTTGACTAAGTGCTTTTTTTCTCTTATTTGAAGCCTGACCGCTGTGATGCTGACCAAACAGTTCTGGGATGAAATAAAGCAATAAACAGCTCTTACAATATAGTGCAGGGTTCTTTGATGGGCTTGAGGAATCTGGCAGACACGATCACACGACTCTGAGGAACGGGTTTCAGCTGCACACAGAAAACAGAAAGAGTGAGGATCCGCAGAAGAGCCAAAGTCATCCAGTTAGCTTAAACACGAGACACAAAACAACAGGTTTAATCTAATCATGATCATCTGAAGCAGCTTCAGTGTTTGGGGCACTAGCTGAATGTGAACTAGCAGTGCACTTCAACATTTCAAATCATTACGTCTTTATAAAACCGTCTGTGGTGCTTTAAAGAAGTACACTTAATGTGATGTGTTGACTAACATACTAAAGCACATGTAAAGTACTTGATTATCATTTTATCTGTAGTGTGTTATGCAATATTATATTTAAAGTTAATACACATTTAAATATTAGTATACATATGTAATTGCAAATATATTTAAAAACACAATATATTTCAATAGAAATGACAATAGAAAGTATTTTTAGTTCAAAACAATCCCTTTAGCAAAGTTTGTACTATTTTCTGCTTATTTTGAAAAATAAAAGAATTCAATAAATATACTGTCATTAAAATATGTTAATATAAAACATATATTTTAAAATACAGAAAAATTTTTTTTTAATAAGTAAAGATTCTGAAAGTATTGAAGGAGATCCAATAGTAATTGAATATATCAAATGATATTTTATTATATGATATGATTAATGGTTTCATTCTAAACATGGTGATTATCTCTAATATGGACACCCAACATAATATATGATATTTATAACTAACTGTCAGGATTCTGGACTGTCTATGTTGTGTTTTGCCCCTGTTTCTGTTCTAGTGTTCCCTTTTGTGGTCATGTTCCTGTCCTCGGTTAGTTTAATTAGTCATCCCATACTTGTCGTGCGTATTTAGCCCCAGCCTGTGTTCGTGGGTTCTAAGCGTCATTGTGCAACGTGTGACTCCTAGCTAGCCTGTGTTTCCTCCTGTGGGTCATTAAAGACTGTTCTGTGTGAAGTCCCTCGTTTCCTCGCTCCTCGCAGTAGGTAAACCGTGACACTAACCACGGCATGTCTACAAATGGAAAAGTCAGCCATCTATTAATTATCATGTTAATTACTGTGTGCCTTTAGCCCCAACAGCAGGGGCGCTTTTACCCCAAATACCATACTTTTACATATTTTTCGTTGTTTAAAAACTGTTACTTTATCTTAAACGAAACTGAAAATCATGAAGACCTTTGTCTCAAAATATATGCATTAATTTTAGTGATTCTCATTTGCTACTTAAATCTACAATATTTTTTTAGATCAAGTAAGCACAGAATCAACTTTGCACACGATCGCGTCAAAGATCAGACAAATATACACGTGCATCTTGAAAACTGGATGTTGGAAAGTGCTACGCCATGTTTTTGTGCCATCTATTGGTTTAGATGAAAATAATATCAAAGCCACCTTTTAACCCGGGGTGCCTTTAGCCCCGTTTTTCTTCCTTTCTCAGTCCTTCAGACTGTCAGGTTCTGTCACATTTATTTTAACTTTCATGGACTTTTAGTTCGTTTCCTGTTTCCGTGTCCTGTTTGTCATTAGTTGCCATGGTTATTCATTAATTAGTCCACACCTGTATGTGTTTTAGTTCATTACCTTTGTGTATTTAGTTCCTTCAGTGTGCTCTGTTCTTGGTCCGGTATAATAAAACACATTGTTTTTTTTGTGATTCTTTCTTCTGGATGGCTATTTTATTTTTAAACCATTTTTGCACTTCAACTACTTCGTCAGTCTTTGGACTCAAAACATGACTCGTTACTCAGAACATTTGTGATCAGCTTAAATGTAGAAAGGCATGTATTTCAGACCGCAGGAAACGTGAGATCTGCTCTGTCGCTGTCAGACGTGAGTTCCTTCGACCCGTGTGTTTAAGCGAGGGCTCTGCTCCGTTCAGCCCAAACACACACACACACACACACACAGCTGCTCTCATCTTGTGTTTCGGTGTCTCTCGGGCCCCTGCCATATCCCCTGGTAACCCCACGGGACGCCCGCGTCTTTGGGATGCTGCCAAACCAAAGCGGCCGCTCTAATTGAGACAATCAGGAGCCAGGAGGAACAAAGTGTGGCCGTCGTTGTAAATAAAAGAACCTGTCCAATCTTGCCTAATGATGATTAGGACGTTGTTTCACCAGTTACCACTGCAACAGCTCTTTAGTTCAGCGTGATAATAAAGTAGGATCCGAGCAGCTGTGACGATACTCACTTTCTTCACCTTGGAGAGTTCATCAAATTTTAAGACCGTCGTAAAAAAAAGTCCCTGTGCTGGTTTTCTTTCTTTCTCTTCATTCCTGTGTGCTTTAACTAGTCTTGAGTTCTGCGGGAGTATATGAAGTGTCATTCAGATGGTCTGCGGAGGCTTTGTTTGCGCTCTGGGTCGGAGCCATTGACTTAAAAATGCATCCAAGGAGGTGGATAATAATTCACAGCTTAATAATTCATTGCCAAATGAGCCGACAACAAAGTGAGTCTTTCCAGACGACAACGCAGACAGTGTGTCTAAAGGTGACACCTCGCTCAGGTAGTCTTTCTTGAACGTTAAAGCAGGTGCGATATGCTGAACTAGCACACTAATGCTCCAGGATTCCTTTAAACATATACCTTGGGTGTTAAAAACATGCTCTTAAATCACTGGCTGTGTTTGCCAGCGTCTAAACCTCCTGTGGTCAAATGTCAGCCTTTGGTGATCTGGTTTAGAGACGTCTGGATGAACACATACACCCGCCTGACTCATTAACTAGTGCAGTGATCGACTGCTTCACTGAACGTGTGTGCTGTTCTTAATGAATGCCATCAGCAGGGTGTATATAGGAGTAGAGCTTGCAAGTGTTATAGATGCATACAGACAGATTTCAGACATCAAGTGTAAATATTTGTCCTCACCTCTCCATTGGTCTGAAGTGCTCTTTTCTTCCTGGTTCCTATCTGTAAATAACTAGAAAGTGAGCTGAATTACTTTTTTTCCTTTTACAATGCAGCATTCGTGACACAGCCAGCGAAACGTTTCATTAAAATGAGATACAATTTGTGTTTGATGTAAAATGTCATGCTTAAAGCAACAGTTCAACAAAAATTGAACATGTCTTGAGAATGTGCTCCCCCTCAGGCCATCCAAGATCAGGATGATTGTGTTTCTTCATCAGATCTGGAGAAATGTAGCACTGCATCAGCGTCTCAGCAATGAAACAAATCCAGCATTAAGACGTTTTTAACTAAAATATGAGTTCATAATCCATAATAACGCTTCATCCAGTGAAAAAGTGCATCTGCTGTTGTCTCTCACATCAGAATCAGACACACATGTGTTTAGAGCTGTTTAAACGCTGCTTGATCTGTGCAGATTTCTCTCCTGATTCACACCAGAACACTGACTCACTGGAGGAAGAGTTATTATGGATTATGAACTCTATGTATTTTAATTAAAAGCATCTGAATGCTGGATTAGTTTCAGCTTTTGTCTTCTCCAGATGTTCACTGATGGACTGGAGTGCTGTGGATTATTGTGATGTTTTTATCAGCTGTTTGGACTCTCATTCTGACGGCACCCATTCACTGCAGAGCATCCATTGCTGAGACACTGATGCAGAGCTACATTTCTACAAACCTGATGAAGAGACAAACTCTTCCTAATCTCAGATGATCTGAGGATGAGATCATTTTCAGCTAATTTTTAATTTTGGGTGAACTATTCCTTTAAATATGTGAAATTAGTTATAATGTAGATTAATAGATCTACATTTCGAATGTACATGAACTTCTTCATAAAACTATCATTTTAATTTGAATAACAGTTCATGAACAAAGCATCACCATGTTCATGAGTCCAACAAAAATGCACTCCGAGAAATTCAGAGAAGTTTTCTGCATTGCTGTTTCACAGGTGTTTCTCCATGTTTTAAATTACACACAGCACTGTGTTGTGTTTTAAGGTTAAAGCTAAAAAGTTAAACTAAACAGAAAAGGTGCTGGTAATTTTCTGCCAAGACATTATCCTTTTTTTTCTACAGATTTGATTTGTTGTTACAGTGTGGGAACTTTTGTCCATACTAGAAAGCATACCAGGAAGCACATTAAGTTGTTTGATTAAAGTCAGCTGATTCTGAAGAGTTTTGTGCCACACGTTTTGATCACGACATGATTCCAAAATTTCAATGTGTGTTATTTCACAGTTTTCGCGTCTTTGCTATCATTATAAAATCTGGAGAATAAGGATAGATAGATGGATGGCTGGAGGTGTCTTACTCTATCTTCTTGAACCTCTCTCGTCCAGCAGCCACGTACTGCTCTCCGCTGCGCAGGTGCTCCAGGGTCTGGACGCGGTGTCCGGCTCTGGGTGTGTAGATGCTCCGCACCGCGCCGAACGGAGCCCTCACGCCGCCAGTCACCTCCCGCAGAAGCGTGTCGAAGGTTGAAACCCGCTTCGAGTTAATCACCAAACGCCTGGGCTCGTAATACGGATCCCCATTGCGATAGAAGTAGATATTTTTCACCTCGGGTTGAGACAGAAAGTTGGGCTTCTCCGCACTCATGGCCAGGGCACGCGAGAGCATCAGAGCGCAGCGCGTGCGGTCCTCATGCTCCAAACCACTGACATACGCGCTGCATTAACAGATGAACAACACATGATTTAAAGTCCAGCACAAGTGGAATCTGCGCAAATCACACTTTCCAGCGGGATGTTCATATCATGAATCAGAAAGATGCGGCGCGATGATCAGGGGCTCTTGTGTTCCTCCAGGGGTTGCTATAGAGACATTACAGCTGAAGCCCGCTGATGCCACTCTACACCACTCCAGAGACTCGAGCTCACGCAACAGTACCCTAACCTACCTTAGAACCCCAGATTTAGCTACAACGCTTATTTTGGCTGATGTAAGTATAGGCCTATTTCAAAAGTTAGTAACTTTTCCAAGTTAGAAAGTAAGTTTATTTGATAGTAGCCTACATATTCCCAGTGCTGGGGAAAGTTACTTTTAAAAGTAATGCGTTACAATGTTGCGTTACTCCATAAAAAGTAACTAATTACGTTACTTAGTTACTTTTTATGGAAAGTAATGCGTTACGTTACTTTTGCGTTACTTTTTAAATCTGGACAGGGCTTGCTTGTTTGTTTTTAAAATAAAAAAGTTATATTTTGGGCAAATATAAAAGCCTTTCACACCAAAAGTGAAGTGAATAAGCTTCAGGCTGAAGGGAAAGTACAGTAGAATGCAGAAGAAGACATTTCAACACACTTCAGCAATAAACAAAGACACAAATGTTCGTCT